GTCTGGAGCAAGGGAGAATGAGGAAAACCAAAGTCACAAGGGAAAGATTAGTCCAAAGGACTAATGGACCACAACTACCACAGCCTCCACCAGACTGAGTCTGGCATAACTAGATGGTGCCCAGCTACCACCACCGACTGCTCTGACAGGAATTACAATAAAGACAGAGCTGGAGAAAAATGTAGAACAAAATTCTAACTCTTACACACACACACACACACACACACACACACACACACACAAAGATCAGACTGACTGGTCTGACAGAGACTGGAGAAAACCCAAGAGTATGGCCCCCGGACTCCCTTTTAACTCAGTACTGAAGTCATTCCTGAGGTTCACGCTTTAGCCAAAGATTAGACAGGCCCAAACAACAAAATGAGACTAAATGGGCACACCAGCCCAGTGGCAGGGATGAGAAGGCAGGAGGGGACAGGAAAGCTGGTAATGGGGAACCCATGGTAGAGAAGGGGACAGTATTGACCTGTCGTCAGGATAGCAACCAATGTCACAAAACAATATGGGTATTAATTGTTCAATGACAAACATTTGCTCCGTAAACCTTCATCTAAAGTACAATTAAAAAAAAGAAAGCATGCAACTAATAAGTGGCGGAACCAAGACTGTAACCTTGATGTGACACCAAAGACCATGTTTCTTTCTACTTCCTCAGGCTGCCTATCACAATGGCATGGACACTATGAGGTACAGCTCCATCTTCCCCTTATGTCCCCATGAAATGTTGTTTCTCTTAGAAACTAGTTTAGTCTGTCAAGTACTACTGTTGTTAGCTGCCATTGAGTCAGCTCCAACTCATGACAACCCCACGTACAATAGAACAAAATGTTGCCCGGTCCTGTACCATCTTCATGATTGCTGCAGGCTCGAGTCCATAATTGTGGCCACTATGTACTTGAGTGCCTTCCAACCTAGGGGGCTCATCTTCCAGCACTGTAATGGGCAGCTTTCTGTTGTGAGCCATAAGGTTTTCATTGGCTAATTTTTTGAAGTAGATTGCCAGTAGATTGCCTTTCTTCCTAATCTGCCTTAGTCTGGAAGTTCTTGACCCTGCTCGTATTTGAAATACTAGTGGCATATCTGTCAGCATCATAGCAACATGCAAGCCACCACAGTATGACAAACAGACAGATGGGTGGTGGCAAGTACTACTAAAAAGGTATAATGGAAAGACTAGAGGACTGGTATTAGGAGAGTTGTGTTCTGGTCTCCCCAATTCCTCTGCTGACTTGCTATGTGAACACTCAGCAAGTTATTGTCTCTCTGGACCTTTATTACCCCAGATTTGAAGTTGAAAGTTTGGATTATTCCCTTAAGGAATCCCCCTGCCTGTGTTCTCTGGCCCACAGATACATCTCCACTTTACAGGAAATGCTACGAAATTGCTGACCGAGTACAGAGGCCTGAGTAGGTGAGGGGCTACCAGAATAGGGCCTGCCTTGTCTAGCAGTGGATCTTGCTTAGCAGGCTGACCTTGGGGGGTGGGGATGGGGGTAGGAAAATCCATGAGCCACAGAGGCTTATTCCCAGGCCTTGAAACCAAATGGAGTTTGCCCAGATGGATTTTGAAATGGCTTGGACCTATGACTCCTTTTTTCCTTCCTTTTTCTCCCTTCTTTGAATGGGAATGTCTATCGCTGTTATCCTATGTCTGTCCCACAACTGTATTTTGGGAGCAGATAACTTGTTCCTTGAGTTTCACGGGTTCACAGATGGAGAGGAATTGTTTCTCGGGATGGATCGCACTCAAGAGTCTCATCCATATCCGATTTAGTTTAGATGATGAGATTTAGGACTTTTTAACTGACAAGATTTAGATGAAATTTTGGATTTTGAGTTGATTATATAATGTGTTGACACTTTTGGGGATGTTGGACTAGGGTGAATGTATTTTGAATGAAGGACAGATGTGAATCTTTGGGTACCAGAGAGTAGACTGTGGTGGGCAGAACCATGCCCCCCTCCCCCCTGCCAAAATGTCCATGTCCTAATTCCTGAATATATTATATTTCATAGCAAAGGGAAATTAAGGTAACAGATGGAATTGAGGTTGCTAATCAGTTGACCTTAAAATGGGATATTATCCTGGATTATCTGGATAAGCCCAATATAATTCCAACAGTCCTTAAATGTGGAAGAGGGAGGCAGAAGAGAAGAACCAGAGAGGGGTACAGTGAGAAGGACTCAGCCCAGTGTTGCTGGCTTTGAAGATGAAGCAAGAGGACCACAAGCCAAGGAATATGGGTGGTCTCTAGAAGTTGGGAAAGGCAAAGAATTTTCTTCTCCTAGAACTTCCAGAAGAAATGCAGCCCTGCCAACACCTTGACTTTAGCCTAGTGAGACCCTTTTCTAACTTCTGACATCCAGAACTATAGCACTAATAGTAAACAATAAATGTGTTTTCTTTTAAGCCCTAAGTTTGTGGTAATGTGTTTGTTTCCACAGCACTAGAAAACTAACACATGTTCTGTCCTGCAGTTTACTGTTTTGGGATCTTGGACAAGTTGTTTCATCTTTGCCTTCTTTAGTTTTCTTTATTTCTAAAAATAAGAACTGCTGTGAGGATCAAAAACGAAAGGGCAGAAATGCCTGTGACCCAGGTGCTCAGTAAGCGTGAACTTCCGGCTTCCCTTTTCCTTTCAGGTTGGCGAAGCACAGGGAGAGAAGGCAGGAGCCAAATGTCATTCTCAGCAGTGCACCCTTCTTCCTCTGACGTCAGCTACGTTAGGACTCCCTCACTAAGCTCCCAGGCACACCTTATCGGGAACATTTGGGCTCCTTATCTGCCTTTGGGAAGCCCAAAGCTCCTACCTCTCCTAATGAAAATACCCTTCAGAATACAAAAGCTCTTTAGAAGAGCCTGAAATGAGAGCAGAGCCAGAGCCTCACTCTGTAAATGAACTTTCAGAGATGAAAGAGCAGCTTAAACATCAGTATCTGTACTAAAAACCAGTTGCCATGGAGTCGATTCTGACTCAGGGTGACCCCATGCGTGTCAGAGTAGAATTATGCTCCACAGGGTTTTCAATGGTTGATTTTTCGGAAGTAATAGCCAGGCCTTCTTCCAAGGCGTCTCTAGGTGAACTTGAACCACCAACATTTTGGTTAGCAGTGGAGTGCATTCATCGTTTGCACCACCCAGGATCTCCAGTATCTATACTATGGCCACTGTATTTCCCGCTGAAAAAATCAGGAGGTGAGGTAAGCCCATTCAAAGGGGCCAACCAAGCCTGGGGTTCCCACTCCATCCACCCCCATACCTGAGACAAACACCCTTCAAATATTCCAGGCTTCCAATTCCTTAATTAGTTGTGTTACGAGCTTTTATTTCAAAAGCACATTTAATACAAGTACAGTTTCGCAGATACAAGTTTTCACTTTGTATTCTACAAAAGTCTTTGAATATTATTCTCTTTACAAAATGGAACCTTACAAAAATACGGACAATTTAATGTTTTTATACAGTTTTCTCTAGTTGCAGTTATTTCTTTCACTGTAAAACAATGTCTACCACAGAACTACAATATTTTAGTTGATATTAAAAAAAATTAACTCAATGCTTTTTTAAGCAGCTAATGTAAATAACACAGGTCAAGACACAGTTTATAATCATAGTGGATATAGCTAAAATTGTTTCAGAAATAATATTTTACATAGTTAACTTTTAATGTTTTATACATTATTTATATAATATTTATATATAAAAATCATAGCTTGCTATAATTGAAATGAAAGGACAGATGTGCATGTGGTTGATGCATGTGGTTACATTTAGCCCTTTCAAAGGTTTGCATCCAAGATTTGAAAGCATTTCTTCCTTCCTCCTTTCCTCAAAGGTTCAGTAGAAGGAGTCCCTGTGTACTGCCTAGAGTGAGACCTTGCTTGGAAGGACTTAAGGATAGAGGATGAGGAAAACTCTCTACGGAGATTTAACCCATGTGTTCTGCCCAGCAGAACCTACCAAGAACTGCCCTAGAGATCAACCCCAAGACAATAGTGCTTTACACAGTTTAGCAAGAGAAGCACCCACAAGGACCCCCATCAGCTCCGTGATCTTGAAGGGCAGCCTCGCAGGTATGAGCCCGTCTGCTACTCTGGCTCCTTCTACTTTGAGCAGCCAAAAGGGTGGTTCATTTTTCATTCTGCCTCCTTCACTCCCTCATCTCTTGTGCAGAAGGCTGCTTCCCCTCAGCTGGTGGTGGACCACGCCTTTGCTCATCTCCAAACCCTCACAGGAAATCCTGGTAGGTACACAGCAAGGACTTCAAGGGAGAAGGCAGTCACCGAAATCTAACCATTTCTAAAGAGTGTGCAAGTGCCCGGTGATTGGTGTATACAACATCAGCATCCTGCAATCGCCATTTCACCATCACAGGCTGATGTGTCAACAGGAGACAAATGAGGGTGTGCACCTCCATGTCTTCTGAAATTGTGCTATTTGTGAAATTCACTCATCCACAAAGAGTCTCCTAATCACTAACGTGAGGGACTGTGGTTACTGGCCTGATGGCCCGGGAAGTGATAAGGTGTCAGGAGTGGGAATCTGGATTCGGCATAATGTGACTGAGCGAGCTTGCTCTTTCCTTTTACCTAAAAAAAATAAAATAAAATAAAACGAACTTCTTGAACCAAACTCACAGTAAAGAATAGAGTGGGGTGGACAGAGAGATGCAGGAGGGGAGCCCCCTCCATGGCTATTTTCTTGATTCAGTGCTATTTCTGGCATCGTGTGCTACAATGTGAATTTGCGCTTTTCTCACAGGCCTGGGATTCCTTAGATCACAAAGGCGACCAACAGACTCTACTCAAACCATTTTAGTGTTTGTTCCAGAACAAGCCCGTGTTCACTAGAACATGAACACTTAAACCAATTGCACATCCAGGATTCCGGCACCTGGTGTTAGTTTGCTGTTGTTTCCACATAGGTGAACACTACCTATTTTGGAAGGCCACAAAGTAAGACTTTTTTTTTTTTCTTTTTTAAATCAGTCAGGCAAAAAGTTTTTTTCCCTACATTCTACTGTCTGATGAGATTGGAGAGCAGCAAGAAATTGCTGTCAGCAGTCATTTTACAAAAACAGCTTGAGAGGTGGGTGGCTCCTACACCATGTTGTGGTGATTGTTCCTCTCAATAATGTCCACAGGCGAGAGGATTTCCTTCCTGATAGCAGGGGGAGGCAGGGAGAGAGTCGTCTTGCTCTTGAAGAGGTCAGACACGAAGAAAACCTAGAAGCACAAATCAGAGACCCAGATCAGTAATGGATACCTGGGAACTGCGGACATGCAAAGGCAAAGGGAACATCATAGGAGCATGGGCTTTAGGAAAAAGGGCTCCAAATCACAGAGCTTTCAATAGGGAAGGGCTGTAGATCATGTAGTCCAACTTTTGTTGTACAGATAGGGAAACTGAGGCCCAGAGAAGGGCAGTGACATGGCCCAGGTTGCACAGCAGCAGTAGGACTAGAACCCAACTCTCAGTCCATTGTTCCATATCCACAATCCCTACTTACTTCTTATTTCTCAAGACAAACGAATACCAATGAAATGTAAGTTCCCAAGCAAAGGAAGCAAGTCATAATTAGTCACAGTCATTTACCTATGCTACTTTCCCTTTCCTCACAAAGGAATCTAGGGTGTAACCAAAAAAGGTCAGCCAATATGAATTCCTATCAGCAGAAGTTAGAATAAGGAAGAGATAGTGGCTACTTTTTCCTGAAAATCCAGTGATACCAACAGTTTTGATGGGGGTCAAGAAGCCAGGGTCTTGTTCCTGAGGGAGTCAGCAACTAACCCAAGGAAAGGTCAATGAACAATCTCCTATCGTTCATTCCCCAGCCTTCCTCCTCCTGGGCATGTGATCTCACTGAGTCTTTCTCAAAATCATTGAGAAACATTTACTGAACTCCCATTTGCAAGGGTATAAGGATGCCTCAGGCTTAGTTCCTGCTCAATGGATTTATGATGAAAGACTCAAGGACCTGATGAGCTGCTGAAGAAACACGTATGCTTTGTATTAGGTGGAAAAATAAATACACAGAAATCCATTTGAGCCAGTTAGCAACAGGAGTTTGTATTAAATAACTATAAGCGGCAGCTATCAGTCATGTAATTTATGGAAAACACATGGCTGGGTTTCAAAATGGTGGCTAAAACACTTTCAAAGTTCCTGAGTCCAACATATTTCTGAAGTGAAAAGTATTTGTCCTGAAGATGGTAAATGTTTCCTAATGGTGTGGACGCTATGGACTTCATTGTGGTCACATTGTTGTTGTATGTCATCTAATTGAGTCTGACTCATAGTGACCCTACAGGACAGAGCAGAATGCCCCATTGGGTTTCCTAGGCTGTAAATCCTTATGGGAGCACATTACCAGGTCTGTTATCTCGCAGAGCTGCTGGCGGGTTCAAACTGCCATAGCTGAGTGCTTAACCACTGTGCCACAAGGGCTCCTTCCTGGTCACATCAGAGGCAAGAAAATCAAGTCCTTCATAAGACATCACCAAAACTGAGGCTTTAACAGTTTAGGACCTGCACACAGTAGGGACCTGGATCATTTGTTCAACCAACTACCACAATGTCCCTTCAGTACTAACAGAGCAATGAACAAAGGGCCACAAAAATCACAGTAGGGAACTGGTCATGGGGTTAGCCCAGGAAAGGGGAACTGGGAGGCTGGAAGACAAAGGTGAAACAAAGGCGTACTTGTCACTAGAACTCTTTATACCTTTTGAATTTTGTACCCATTACTTATATTATCTACTCAAATGTTTAATGATTATTTTAAGGGAAAAAAAGGGTAAAGAAAAGAAAGGTAGGCTGTTTATATGCTACTATAAATAAGTGAAATATTAGCCCAAAGAAGTAAGTTTTTCTTTAAGTCCACTTACAGCTTGAGTGCCACTGAATGTAGCATTTTAAAGGAAAAAAATAAGCTTTTTTTTTTTTCGCTTTCTTTCCTAAAGAAGCATGAAAAGTAAGAATTTTGGTACAGAAAGGTGTGCCTTCGAGTCAGGAAAGGACTGTGCCTGCCCCAGCCAGGAGGCTCTTGGGCTCCTCTCACTGGGAGCTCTTTACAAGTGGGCAGGAGAAGGGTACGCAAGTGCCCCCAGAATAAGGAAAAACTAAAAAACATGATCAAAGTTAAATGTGAAAAAAATTTATTAAGCTTTTTAACTCTTCTCCAGTCCCACCCCCAGTCCATGTTTCCTTTGAACTCCCCCAATGGCCTCACTTCCTACTGTCCTAAAAAGATATCATGTCTTCATCGCTACCCGAAAATTATCCCCTGCCCCCCTCCTCCTTCATTTTTGTCTCCAAGAAAAAGGTTTCCGTCAATCCCTCCATCAGTGGCGTTCATCTCCATTCATTCCAGCCTAGCAGCAAGTTCCATCAAATAAGGGCTCCTACTGCCCTTATTTCTTAGAGATCTTTCTCTAGACTCCTTCCTCTCTGCTGAGGGCATATATAGCAGGGAATCTCCCTCCCCAAAACAAATACATCCTTCTCCAAGATCCTGCTACTTATAACCTCAATGTACTAGCTTAGTTCCCAGTGTAGCTTTCTGGGTTCATATCTACTGCATAGTAGGGTTTCAGTTTCCTAACTGCAAGGTAAGAATAATATGAACATTAAAAGCAATAGTGTACTTAAGAAGACCTAAAACAGCATCTGGTACATAGTTCAGTAAAAGGCATTTCTGTCTCTAATACTCTGGACACCAAAGTAATTACTAGGCCCAGTGTCCCATACTCTCTTGAGTCACCAAAACTTGGCTTGTCAGCCTTTCTTCCTAGATAAAAAGCTTCCTGAAGGCACAGTCCTAACCCTAATCATCCTGTATCACCCAGAACATTTAGCATTGGGCCTTCCCCATAGCAGGGGCTCAATAAATGCTTGTTGTTGAATTTCTAAACTACTGGGAAGCAAGGGCTTTGGCCTTGAATCTTATCAGCACACCAAACTCTTGCAGACTTCAGGAGGAACCATATACTCACATGCACACAGCCCAGCAGCAACATGAAAAGTTGAGCCCAGGCCAGCAGAATCCCCCTTTAAGCAATATTTTGCTTTCAGTGTAGCTTGAGGTTACACAAACACTTCTTCTGGGGATCAGAAAACACAATCCTGTCAGACTCAACCAGGGCTCAGTCCTCCCAATGCTTGAGTAGCAGAACACAAAAAGGACTAGAAAAAGGGAGACCTTCTTGGCTTGGAGCAGTTCTACTTCCCGCAGAAGATGATCTCCACCCAGAAAGAAAACCCAGAGGCCCAGGTCAGGAAGGGTCCATACACATTAAGTAGCTATCTTAGGTCTCAGGCACATACCCACTCCCAGACTACAGTCATACTCCACACATCTCCTCTGCTATATGAAAGAACACATTAGCCAATAAATACAGCCTCAGCAAACAACAACTCTATACCCTACGTGCCAAGGAGTGTTCTAAGTTACACTGCCCAGAGCATTTGCCTTCAATTCCATTTCTCTGATTCTTTGTATTGTATACATTACTTTTTTTTTTTTTTTTGAGAAATGAATGAATGCAACCAGTAAATATCTATTGAGTACCTTCTCTGTTCCAAGCCCTGTATATAATTTATGTATATAAATATACATAAGATGGAGACCTTTGCTTTCCAGAAGCTCACAGCCCAGTGAGGGAGAGAGCCTGGTAAATAACAACTACAATACAGTGCTTTAAGGATCATGATAGAGGAAAGCCAGGATGTTAAAGAACCACAGAGAATGTGGCATCTAACCCAGACTGAAGGGAAGGGCAGAGGGCCATAGGAGACTTTCCCCCAAAGGAGGTATACTGGAGCTTAGCTTTGAAGGCTAAGTAGGAGTTAGCCAGGTGGTGAATGCCAGGAATGTTGGTACAGGCAGAGGGTGCAGCGTGTGCACAGGCATAGAAGCGAGCGAGTACAGCATGTTCGGGGAACCCCAAGAAGCTCAGTATGGCTAGGGCAGATCATTCGATAAGGCTGGAATGGCCAGGGCCAGACCCGGAAAAGCCTTCTATGACACACTGAGGAGTTCAGACCTTATCCTCTTGGCTCTAGGAGACGCTGTCAAGGCTGAAGCAGGGAAGCATCATGTTGGGAAGACTTGCACTAAGATCATCTTGGTATCTAGAATAGAGATACTGTTGTTGTTAGGTCCTGTCGAGTCAATTTTGACTCATAACAACCCCATGTAACAGAGCAGAACTGCCTCATAGGATTTTCTACACTGTAATCTTTACAGGGAGGAGCTTGGTGGCGCAGTGGTTAAGTGCTAACCAAAAGGTTGGAGGTTTCAACGCACCAGCTGCTCCACGGGAGAAAGATGTGGCAGTCTGCTTCTGTAAAGATTACCTTGGAAACTTTATGGGACAGTTCTACTCTGTCCTATAAGGTCAATATGAGTCAGAATCGACTCGACAGCAACGGGTTTGGTTTTTGGTTTTGATTTAATCTTTATGGGAGCAAATCACCAGGTCTTTCTCCCACGGAGCCATTGGGTGGGTTTCCAACTGTCAACCTGTCCATTAGCAGCCAAGCGCTTAATTGTTGTGCTACCAGGGCTCCTTTTAGAATACAGAAGGAGTTGGGAAAGGGTGCAGTGAGCCTGAGGGCAGTGAGCCCAGCAGGACACTACTACAGAGTGTAGGAGAGGATGAGTCCTGAACTATGGCCATGCTGTGGAGACAAAGAAGAAGAGATGGATTTGAGATGTTGAGGATAGAACGAAGCTGATAGAGATGGTGTGTATATGTGTGGGCAGGAGGCTTAGGGGGAGGTAATGCTTTTCTTTCCAGTTCTGTTCTTAACTCTGGCGATCTTTGCACTTGTTACCATAAAACTCTCACAGTTTGGGTAAATATGCTGGGGGAAAAAATTGTAACTCTACTTTCCTCTGCCTTCTAATATTTTGGCTCCTTCTGATAGTGTCTTGGGAAGTGATTCTGACCTCCTCCTGACTCAGAACGGCAGGTTATTCTATGGTCTGAGGGTAAAATGATCTGATTTTCTCAAACATTCAGGACAATGTTGCCTTTCCCTCAAGAGGAAGACTACACACAAACAAGGCAACCTTGGTCTGGAGAAACCCCATTCATTCACTGTAAGGAAGAGTCCATATAAATGGTGACTATTAGTCTTGTTCTAGTACCATTGCATCACCACCGCCCACTCTCGATCCAACACATACAGCACTGGTAAAAATCTTTGTTCTTTGGAGTAA